ATTCGAAGATCCTACGCCGTCGACCTTAGGTCCGGGTAGGAAGAAATTATGGCAGTGCCATCTCGATTTCTTTCTCGGTGGGGAGGAGACGTCGGGAGGCTGCCGAAATTTCCTAAAAATCTGTTTTGAAATAATTGGAGAAATGAGTGAACTTTAATTAGTTATTTTCAATTAATGAAAATTAATTAATTGAAAAAATTATTTGGTTAAAACTAATTAAAATTAAAACTAATTAAATTTTATTAATTTAAATCAATTGATTGACAAATTAAATTAAATTGATTATTCGAGAGCATTAAAAAAAATTGAGAGTTTTAAAATATGGGAACTTTTGTAAATCCGAATTGTTTAAAAATCTAAAGTAATTTAAATATAAAAGTAATTTAAAATTTGAGTTAAAATTCTAAAGCATTTTTAATTAAGCAATTGGAGCAATTTTAAAATAAAAATACAATAAATAAAAGGAGGATGGGGAAGGGAAGTTTCCACTAAATGGCATATATAACATTGATTATTAACTCTCCAAAACTCTCAAACTCTCCAAATTCCTTGTACAAATTGCTCTCAAAGATCTCAAACTCTCTAAATGGAACAAACTTCAACTCAACATTCCAACCAAAACACAAATTAAAACTCTCAACACTCTGCAGTGGCTTCTATGATTATCTGTGAGTTCCCTAAATCGATGCTAGTACCATGTACCTGCAAATAAACAAACAAGAATCAGTGCATCATAAATAAATTAAATCAACACAGATTAAAAATAATAAATCTAACTACTAGTAACACAAACGTTCTGGGAAGCAAGAAAAGCTAAGTACGAAAAAGCTAGTAGAGCAACAATGCTAAAAAAATGGGTAGAGTAGTAGACTACTGTAGTAGGAAAAAGACTACGAGCACAGAACAAGTAAAACACTAACGCAAGTGTCAAACCTCTCAAAACAAAACACTGTCAACTCAACAAACAAACAATCAAATTTAAAACATTTGGGCTTCCTTGTTTATAAGAATTTGGTTGTAAGACCCATTACCCGGCAATTTTCGTAGGAAAGCAGTAAGCCCGATTTTAGGGGAAAGTTTTAGGTAAAATTGACCTAACTCCTAACCCCCAAATAAAAATCCTTGGCCACTTCTAATAGAAGTCGTAAGTCCGACCTCTGAGATAAACGTTTAGATAATAATACAACCCGAGATCCCTCACTCGGGCATCCTATCCTATAGGGTTAGGTTGTAAGACCCACTATCGAGCAACTTTTAAGTGAAGCCATAAGACCCACGTTTTAGGAAAATTGTTAAATAAATAGCAATGATCGTAAATCCCAAATAATCAAATTTAAACATATGAGCATCTTAATCTAAATGATTAAGTTATAAGAGCCACCCTTTTTTAGGCTACTTTCTAAGAGAAGCCATAAGTCCTATCCAAATAATTTAAAACCTCCGGACAGCCTTGCTGTAGAGTTAGGTTGTAAGACCCATCCTTGGGCAACTCATAAATAGAGCAGTAAGCCCCATTCCAAAATTAAAGCCCAGGGCTACTTTTTATGAAAGCCGTAAGTCCCAACCTAAATCTAAATACCTGGGTTACTTCTTAAAGAAGTCATAAGACCCACTCCAATCCAAACTTCTAGGTTACTTTCTACGAAAGCCGTAAATCCCAATCTAAATCCAAATACCCGGGCTACTTTCTACGAAAGTAAAGTCCCAACCTAAATCTAAATATTCAGGCTACTTCCTAAAGAAGCCATAAGACCCACTCTAATCCAACTCCTGAGTTACTTTTAAACGAAGTCATAAATCCAGGCTAAATTAATTTTTGGGTATTCTAATAGAAGTAAATCCCAAAACGTTAAAAAAAAATTAAAACTCACATTTAACCACTTCAGTCTACTCGGGATCCCTGAGAGGATGCAACACATGGATGCTAATCATATTCCCTGGACACTAAGGTCAATGATTGTTAATGTTGGTAGATTGAAATCTACGGTATACCCGGGACGACGGAATCATGGGATCTTGATCGGGTTTACCTTCATTTTCCCCATAATTGAGACTAAATACCTAAAAATTATTCATTCTTAATCAAGAGTTCTTTCTTACGTAGTAAGAGGGGTAATTAACTATGAGTGCCTACCCTCAGGGGAAATCTGGTTAACTATAATCTGACTTAAGAGAAATGGAATCCTACGGCTGCAAAGCGGGATTCATGCATTCGTGTAATTTTTCTTGAGTCAACACGGCGACATCGGCGGGGGGACTTTGGCATGCAAGAGAGAATCGAGAGGGGGGGAAAGGGTTGGGCGAGTGAGTTTCGTGCATAAGTCGCGAGGGACATAAGTGTATGAGGGAGTGAGTATGAGGGTTTAAGTGGTGGTTTAGGTTTTTTTATTACTATTTGTAATTAATTTTAAATATTAAATTAGTATGATTTTTTTTAATTAATTGTGCCTCAACTTGGTCGACATATTGTTATTGTCATGCTAATCAATACTGTCTCGATTCACATGTGCAAAATTATGATTTTTCATTGATCGACAACTCGACCAATATCAGTGTCAATCTTGGCTGTTTCCATTGCTCGGATGTCTTGGCGTTGTCTGTTTCACGAATAGAGGTCATTTCAGCAATTTGGATTTTCGATCAATGCGCGTCGGGTAAGTTTTGCGTGATGTCACGCTCTTTAACTTTCAGAGCTCACAGTGTGCGTTGACTCGGCCACGATATTAGTATTGAGGTCAACAAATAGTTATGCTCATATTTAAGAATATACCAAGTAACAACTCTTTGATGTTGCTAGAGAGGAAGGATGCGAGAGAAATTAAAATATAATAGTTTTGTAATTCAACTAAGTATTACAACTTATGTTATCTAATTCTTGTAAGACACATGTCTGTGATTGGCCAAAGTTATCAAAATGTGCTCGAATCTTTTCTTTGGAAAAGCAAAAGAGCAAGCATCTAGCATGTCAATGCGGATAGACATGCTGTGTAATGTACCGAGTATCCCTCTCTGGGTTATTGTGTTATGGTGTGTGATGAGACATGAATTTTCTCTTCTTCAGATCTTGAATTGGCTCTAGTAATTTGCTTATTATCTTTTGCAAGAAAATTTTACTGTAATTGATGTGCAAGGACCCCACAAAATTATTTGACCATATGACAATTTTTTTAGGATTGCACCTAGGCCCATTTTATTCATTGTTGAATTTCCTGTGTCTTGTTTGTACGGTTAAGAGCTGAGATGATATTATTTTTCCAAAAACTTTCAATTATTAAAAATTAAATTGCTATTTGGAATAACATAGCTCAAATTAATTTGTATGAGTTTTTCATATTGATTTATGTTTAATTTAATTTGCCCCAAATTAGTTTGTCATTTTTTATGTGCCATATAACTATTTAGTATATGTTATATGGATCTAGCTGGCACTTCCGTTTGCATCGTTCATATAAGATTCAAAAGAAAAATTAGTAATATATATTCGAAATGTGTCGGGAGGGCTATTAAAAAAGCTTGTTGTTCATGAATAGATTGTGTTCAACTAACTAAGTAGTTCATGTTCACTTTGTTTGTTAAATAAGTGAACTGAACACAAATATATACTTAAAGCTAGATATTTGAACAAGTAGAACACAAACAGACCCCTGGTCGATCATGTTCAACTCATTTTGGCTCAAAATAAATAAAGAAGTATATGTTTTATATGTATTTTAAGATTAGTTAATTTATCAGTAGAACAAAATCATTAAAATCTTTCTTAATAATTAGTTTGCCTTTAAGAATAGAGAAATATCAAGAATCTCAACTATTGGATCAGATCAAATGGCCGAGATTTAGGATTCCTAAAAACCCTAGGTATAGAAAACCTGTAGGCTGCAATCCTCTTTACATTCTCTCTCTTGCTCTTTTATCTAAAACTATTGCGATCCTCACCTATGGGCTCGTAGGCTAGCCACACTTTCTCTTAGCTCTCACATCTCTCTCTCGGCCTATCTTGGCCCTTGCCCCCCTCATTAGGCCTTTCTTGGCCCTCGAATCTCTCACAGAACCTAGTATACCTGTGGGAGCCAAGTTAGCATTGCCAAACTAAGCTTTAAGGGGGTAAAGGCTATGAAATCCCTTATTGGGAATCTTAGGGTTCAAATCATAAGATGGGTCAACCTCCTCGTCCTAGGTACATGCATTAGTGACCCCATATTGTCGTTTGGTTAGTGACCAGGTCGTTCCCTCTCCTCCTTTCCAGTCATGCTTCATTTTCATTTTTTTTGTTGTAATAAGTGTATTAGGTTGTCAATGCTAAGCTTGATGAAGGGCTGGCCTTTTGTGGTATGATTTTGGGCTAAAAATTGATGGGTAAATTTACTTAATGAGAAAATAAATTTGGCTTGATTGGCCTGCTTACTTGATTAATTGTTTTGATTTTAAATATATGCATATTATATATTCATTTTTTATGCTTTATTTATAAAAATTATGCATTATTTAAAAGTTTGAGCTAATTCGAGCCAAAAGGAGCCTAATGGGCTCGTTAAAAACAAGCTGAATTGAACTCTAACATCATATTAACAAACAATTTTGAACACAAGCCAATCTGGAATAAACAAATTTTTGAACGAGCAAAATAGGAGTAGATTGTGAGCTCGCTCAAGCTTGGCTTATTTATTACCACTATGTGTGAGTAGGAAGGCCTTGTGATCCTGTTCAATATACATTGCTCTTGATTTATGTGATATATGAATAGGCAACCACTTAGACAACATAGGATCATGCAGGTTTTAGTATAAAGTGAATATATATTGAAAGAAATCTACTGCTATATTTTTTTCTCTCAAATACTGGATCTATTAAAGAAATCTCATATTTATAATATGTGATTCGCACTAATGTAACTGTTAATCATACTTGTGATTGTAACTTCATCCATAGAGGCTTGTTATTATTATTATTTTTCTCTGAACTTCGTTAGTTAAAGATAAGTTCTTTGGATATTTTTGTTATAGGTCATTGACCGTTATGAGAAGGAATTTGGAGCAAGAAACTATCATTTCTCAGCTGGAAAAGTGAACTTCATTGTGGTTGATGCACAAACACTAGATGGTAAGCTATCCCTTGAGCAAATTTAGTTTCATTGGACTGATTGGTGCAATCAAAAATTTGGGAGAGGGCCCCAAATTTTTGATCACAATAAGACTACCCTTCTAGATTAAATAAAAGCATAAAAGACTAAAAAGAAGACAAAACTAACTTTACTTATATAAAATGAAAGACTTACAACTCTTAAAATTAAAACGACTTACAAACAAAGACTCTTACAAACTTGACTCAAACAAGACACCCTAAACTTGCTTTCCAAGAGAAGAAGGATACAGGTGAGGTGGCACTTGCGGATAGAAGAAGAGGTTAGAAGCCAAGACGAAGGGTGGAAAGAACTCGCAAGTCTCCCCAAGAGATAGAAGAAGAAGAAGTGGACAAAGCTCGCAAGCTTTTCCAAAAACCCGCAGGTTTACATTTCAAAAATTAACTTATATCATTTCTTTAAAACATTCCAAAACTACACTATATATAGGCATGAGAGGGGAATACAAACAGCCCCAAAACCTTAATTAAAAGCTAATTAAAATAGGAAGATAGAAGGCCAAAAGTTACTCCAAAATAGCAGCCCAAAAGTCACCAAACAGTAGCCCAAAAGTCCTTCAAACAGCAGCCCAAAAACCCTTCAAACAGCAGCCCAAAAACCTTCAAGCAACAACCCAACATTGCACAGGAAACAGGGCATCAATTCCACGGAAAAAGCCCCCCAGCTGCTACGGGAAAACAGCCCAGGCAGAACCCGAAGAGGCAACTGCAAGAACCAAGGAGGCAGCCGTGGGAACCAAGGAGGCAGCCGTGAGAACCAAGGAGCCAAGGCACAGGAACCCAAGAGCCAACCACGGAAACGAATAGACAAGGGGAAGGAGATGAGACAAAATAATGAGCTACTAATAAATTAATAAATGATCTAAAAACATAGCTCATAATGAGCTAACTCTTAGTTCAATTAATGAACTAAAAACCAGCTCATAATGAGCTAAATCTTAGCTCAAAAATTAATGAGCTAGCAAGCTCAAGGGAAGTCAAAATCAAATTTTTTTTGGGTTTGATTTGACCCCCCCTTTGTCTACATCACTGATGCAGCGCAGCAAATCTAGTTGAAGATATTATGCTTTCATGCTTCCTCCTGAAAAAAATCTCAAATTTAACATATTTAATTTTGCTATTATTTATTAGTTTGAAATTTTTATGTTACTTTTGAATTGAAAGCACTGGATGCTATAAGTTAGGGGTAGTAGAATTTCGGTAATTTTCTTTTAAGTATGTTCCTGCTAAACAATCTAATTGGCAAATCTGCACTACTATGATAGAGAGTGATTCATAAAGTAGACCCTAATTAGTTGGATATGGCGATCATGTTAATTACTCTACAATGCTCTAGAACCAGTTAAGTATTTCTCTGGAGATGGAATCGATTGCTAATAAGTTAGCTTAATTATATGCTATGTCCACGACATCATTTTAAAGGTGGAGTTTATATTGTTTATATCTATCCATGTGTCAAATATTTGATAGTTTTTATTTGGAATTAAGAGTTTTTAAAAATGTTTAAATCACTAGCATGAACTCCAAAGTGATGGCTCCATATCATAGCTTCAATTAAATCCCATTACTAATTACTTGTTAATTCATCATTATAATAATTAGGGGCTAGCTTAATAAGTCCTTATTCTCTTTTGATCATTCCTGTTGAGTCTTGTTTGAGGTATTAACTAATTTTGCGCAAATCTTTTTGCGTAATTTATATCCATGTCACCTTTGTTTTGCCTTTTTTTACCCTTATCTTTCAACACTAATTTTATTTAGCTTATGATTGTATTTTCTATAATATGTTTGACATGTTCAATTTCATTACCATATTTTTAATAGAGGCTACTCCCATTATCTCGTTTATATAACCATTTCTTAATACATATACATCTTTATTTTGCCACACATCCATCTTAAAATATTCATTTAGCATGTATGCTCATTGTCTTGACAAAACCTTTCCATATCGTCTTTTATGGCTGGGCATTCTTCCATGCTTGCCACTTAAGATTTCTAAATCCTAATTATTTTCTAGAACAATATAAGACAGCATGCTCATCACACAATACACACTTTTATACAGGATGTATAAAAGTATTTCTCTCTTTTAGCATTCTCTTTTCATTGTTTTATCTTGTTTATTTCCATTACTTTTTTTCCCAACACATATGAAGAAGCATTTCTCGATCATAACTTGAAATATGCAATGGATATTGAAATATGATATGTCCTTGATACACTTGGGATTGGGTTATCTTCCCTGCTGATGTAAAGCCTATTTCATGTCAGGGTCTTCATTATCAATTTTCTTTGAGATGGTATTATTGCTTGCTACAAAGCCCAATTGGTGGCAAAATGATGTGCACATATTCAATCATGTCATTGATTATTTTGACATTTTTTCATTGATTACTATATTAAACTTTTGTTTGCCTTTTTTTTAATCTTTGGCTATATATCAAAGTAGGCCTTTACCACAAAGGGTGTTATCAATATTTTTCTATGTTGATATCTTGTAAGTAATTTATATAAAGCGACCTTCCAAATATGTTGTTCGGGGGATAACAAAATTTTTAAACTTTGGAAAGGTCATTTGAGTTTAAACAAAGTTTACGTGTTTGGTTTATTAAACTCTGAAAGGTCCTTGTTGTTATTGGTTTTCAAATTAGCACAACCAATCACTAGCTCCTGATATCTTTATCCATCATTCTTTTTCAAGGACGTTTTTTTTTGCAGTGTATTTTGACAATGTTCTTCTCACAAGAAATGATTTATTAATCATTAAGGAAACTAAATGATATATTTAGAAGATATTTGCTACATAAATTTTGGATGTGCAATGTATTTTCTCAACATCAAGCTTGCTTACGACAAAGTATTTCTCTCTTTCCCATAGGAAATTTGCCATATATTTATTTAAGTAAATTGAGTTTCTTTTGTTCAAACTTATTGACTCTCCTACGGATACTTTACAAACTTTTAGTTTTGAGAAATACTTTGAAGATGCGTCTTCTTAACCACCATTTGGTTTGTAAGTTTATCAACTTATTTTTCACCTAATATGATATTTCCTTTGTTGGCTTGGTAGGTTACGTATGCAAAGTCTGTTAGGTTGGTTCACCCAGAACTGGTCCAGCTAGCTGGCCCAAAGGCCGGCTCAGTTTGTTTACAGGAGGTGGACGACTTGGGTTTGCCTGCCCATAGTGAGGGCTCCACTTGTCAAATTAAGTTCAAATTTAAAAGGAGGTGACGATTAGGGCTTGGGAGGGAAATTAGATTAGAAAATCTTTTGTATTAAGGAACATGAGAGGATTAGGGAGGGATTATATTTTGATTGATTCTCAATTAGGGTTTCTTGACAGCTTGGGCTCTAGAATCTCTTGTCTAGAGATTTGGGAGAGACGATCCTCCTCTCGAATTGAGGAACTCTTGTATCTTTCCTTTGTTCTTGTTTCGCTTTGCTTTCTATAAGATTAGTTATCGTTTGATTGTTCTTCCACCATTTTCTTCATTTTTCTCACTGTTTTTTTCGATTATTGTTAGGTTTGCTTGCGAACTCAAGTATTTCTCATTAGGGTTACTTGCGAACTCAAGTATTTCCTATCAAATTGGTATCAGAGCAAGTATTGAGACCGGTGGAGGGCTGTTTTTGGCAAATTCCAATAGTGGTTTTTGGTCTAGAAAAGAGGGAAGTTGCTATTTTTGGAGATCCAAATTCAGATTTTGTGAATCTACAAACTCTGGATAATGAAGGTGGATGCCTATAGAAGAAATGTTTGAAGGGGAGATGAATCAAATCAAGACAACGGTGGAAGAAAGTATTTCCTCCATTGAAGGACAAGTAGTCGATCTCCGGGACATGATATAGAAGATGTTCGAAAGCCACAACCAAACGACGACTTCCGTGGCAAAAGGAGTGGAAGGGAAAAACATGAATTCTGAAATCCGTAGGGAGGAAGATGAGGTGGAAATCATGGAAGGAGAAAGAAGAAGTCTCAATCTGGAGTTTGTCTAGAGGGAAGAAAGAGGTGGATATGGGGAACGCCAGGAGGGATACTATGGCCGCCGAGGTGCTGATTTCGAAGAAAGAAGGGAAGAATTTGAAGGGGGTTTGGGCTATGGTAGGGAGGGAAGACCGGGAGACGTGGGGAGGGCATAACACTTGAGAGAGGGGAAGCTATGGAAGAATATGGGGGAATGGTGACGATCAGAAGGTTTGGAAGCTGAAGATGTTCATATTTGAAGGAGAAGATGCGTATGGGTGGATTTATAAGGTGGATAGATACTTCATCGTTAATGGGCTGACAGAGGAGGAGAAGTTGACAGCGGTAGGCTTGTGCTTGGAAGGGAAGGCTCTGTCATGATATCAGTGGAGAGATCAGAGGAGACATATCAGAAACTTGAGTGAATTCAAGGATTGAATAATAGAAAGTTTCTAAACCAATCGGGGAGGAGATTTTTATGAGCAGTTCTTTGCTCTGACACAGGAGGGATCAGTAGTAGACTACTGAGAGCGGTTTGAGCATTTGGCCAGTAGGGTGAAGTGATTATCAGATATTGTAATGGAGGGAAACTTCATGAAGGGGTTGAAGGCAGATATCCGAGCAGCAGTGAAGGTTCTGATGCCTCGTGACTTGGGGGAGACCATGAAGTTGGTACAGTTAGTTGAAAATTAGAGAAATTTGAAGAGGGGAGTTAGGAGTAACAACAGCAGGAGCACTTACACGATGATGACCATCCATCTAGCACTTAAAGGTCCATCAATAGGAGGAAGTCGTGTGGCCGCCAAGGAGAAGACAGGAGGAGGGAGTGGGAGAAATTTCAAGCGGCTGACAGAGAAGGAGAGGTAGGAGAAGAGGGCTAAGGGGTTGTGCTTCAGGTGCGATGTGAAGTATATGTCAGGGCATCAGTGCAATGACCGAACACTTCATGTTCTCACTGTCTGTGATGATGAGGAATCCGAGGGAGGTGAGTAG